ATTTGTTTGTAAATTAATTTAAAAATTTAAATACAATTTAATAAGTGTAATTTCTCTAAAAAATCAAAAGGTATTGTTGACTTACCCTTTAATCCAGATCCTTGTAGCACGATTGTCTTCTCCATTACCCCCATTGGCACTCACTAATCACTCGAAATTTTAAAAATCGCGCACTACTAAATGTCTATTAGCACTCGAAAATACACAACACGCACTCACTGGTCACCGAGTTTTGCACATTTCACTTTGCAATAAACAAGAAAAAAATTAAATAAAATGCTCTGACCTTATATGGCATCATCTTCTGCTACCATTTGTAGCGATTCCCCTCATCTTCATAGAACGGACTTACTGAAATAAAGGAAATCGAAAATTAGTTCAATTTTATTTGTAAATTAATTTAAAAATTTAAATACAATTTAATAAGTGTAATTTCTCTAAAAAATCAAAAGATATTGTTGAATTACCCTTTAATCCAGATCCTTGTAACACGATTGTCTTCTCCATTACCCCCATTGGCACTCACTAATCACTCGAAATTTTAAAAATCGCGCACTACTAAATGTCTATTAGCACTCCAAAATACACAACACGCACTCACTGGTCACCGAGTTTCGCACAGTTCACTTTGCAATAAACAAGAAAAAAAATAAATAAAATGCTCTGACCTTATATGGCATCATCTTCTGCTACCATTTGTAGCGATTCCCCTCATCTTCATAGAACGGACTTACTGAAATAAAAGAAATTCAAAATTAGTTCAATTTGTTTGTAAATTAATTGAAAATTTTAAATACAATTTAATAAGTGTAATTTCTCTAAAAAAATAAAAAGGTATTGTTGACTTACCCTTTAATCCAGATCCTTGTAGCACGATTGTCTTCTCCATTACCCCCATTGGCATTCACTAATCACTCAAAATTTTAAAAATCGCGCACTACTAAATGTATATTAAGCACTCTAAAATACACAAAACATACGCACTATATATGTACAGCTCCCATTTGAACACGATTTATCCGGACAAGTGATTCGTACGAGAGCTTGACTAAGACTGACTCGTTATTGTAATAATTTCCTCAAAAAACAGCACAAAAACCATTTCGTAACAGTTCCGGTGCAAAAGGCCTTTGTTTGGGGCTGCATAGCCCCGCCCATTCGCTACGTCACAAAGAAATTTGAATATTACCCAATTCTACGTCACTATTTTTTGCGCTCTTTACACTTGTTTACACGACAAAGTGATTATACAGGGTGCGCCAGAACTCGCGCCCCAGAGAAAAATGCCATGTAAGGAATATGGAAAAAATGTAAAAAAAATATATCTATAAAAATTTCGGAGTTATGAGGGTTTAAATTTTGCACTTTGACTCTATTTATTTCTGTTGGAAAAATAATTTTTCAAGTTTTTTTGCTATAGGCTATTAAAAGAGGAAACAAGGAAGCTGTATCCTAAATTGTTACTCGGTTTAATGTTATTTGTGGCTTTTATTGGCAAAATTTTTGTTTCTTTACTAAATAATTGTAAAAGAAACATATACAAGATCATCAGTATCATTAAATTACACATAAAAAAAAATTTCAATCCTGGTATATTACCTTACTTGAAAATTTTCTCTGGGGCATGAGTTCTTGCGCCCCCTGTACAACCCCCTGACATGACGTCAAAATGCTCGCATCTGATTGGCTACGGGATAGCGTTTTGATGTGTCTAAATATGAATTAATTATTACGCCACTCGACGTATAACAAAAATATTGCTTAAAATCTGTCAAGTTGTTAATAAATGAATTTTTTTTTTTAATTTTGACCTGGGAAATGTTTTTGTTACACCTTCTATTTAAATTTGATTTAGATTTGGAAGTTCCACCACCTGGACAAGAAGAAAACGGTTCTTATTTAGAACACGAGCTGTTGCCACAACCAAAATTGCAACTAGTGTTACGAGGTCCAAATATGCCAGGAATCTCCGATGTCGAAATCGAATTAAATGATCCATCATGGACGATTTTTAGAGCCGTTCAAGAGTTGATGCAAATGACCGAATTTGGTTCAAAACAAGAGAAATTAAGGAGAATTTGGGAACCAACATATATGTAAGTTGATTAGAAAAAAAATCGAATACAATTTATTAAATTTTTATTTAGAATTGTCTATCGAGAATTAAAAGATGACGGAACTTACGATTCGGAGGAGGGACGTGCCACTCCTGTGGTTCTCTACTCCCGAAGTGGCAGTAGTTCGGTCGCTGGTACCACTTTATCACCCAGTACCCCGGTTCCTGGTACCCCATCAGTGTCAAATTGTACCGTCGAAGACGTCCTTCAATTACTACGCCATCTTTTCGTAATTACAACAACAAGAGAGAACGATTTGAATTTATTAGACAACAACATCGAAATCACACCCGATCAATACACTAGTAAAAAAATCACCAATAAGCTTTTGCAACAAATCCAAGATCCGTTGGTATTGTCAAGTTCTAGTTTACCGGCATGGTGTGAAGAATTGAATCATTCATGTCCGTTTTTATTCCCATTTGAAACACGTCACTTGTATTTTAATTGTACCGCATTTGGGGCGTCTCGTAGTATAGTTTGGTTGCAAACCCAACGCGATGTCACAATGGAAAGACAAAGAACGACGGGTTTGTCACCACGACGTGATGAACCACATGAGTTTCGTGTAGGACGTTTAAAACACGAAAGAGTAAAAGTTCCTAGAGGTGAAGAGATTTTAAGTTGGGCAATTCAAGTGATGAAAATACATTCGGATAGAAAATCGATATTGGAAGTGGAGTTTTTGGGTGAGGAAGGTACTGGTTTGGGGCCAACTTTGGAGTTTTATGCTTTGGTTGCGGCCGAATTGCAACGAAGAGATTTAGGAATGTGGATTTGTGACGATGATGCGATTGATATGCAAGATATTGTTGATTTGGGTGAGGGGGTGAAACCACCTGGATACTATGTGAGACGTGTTTCGGGGCTTTTCCCAGCACCGTTGCCTCAAAATTCTGAAATTTGTGATAAGGCCGTTAAGTATTTCTGGTTTTTGGGAGTGTTTCTTGCTAAAGTTTTGCAAGATAATCGTTTGGTTGATTTACCATTGAGTCAGAGTTTCTTGAAGTTGATGTGTCATGGAGAGATTCAGAATACTGTCAATGAGAGGATTGGTTTTGCTGGGGTTAAGAAAAGTAGCGAGGATGATATTATGACATCGAGTTTGATATCGGAAGAGAGTGAAAAGGAGTTGGAGTTGGATCCACCGAAAATGATCATTGAGGATAAAAAGCCTTGGTATTTGAATATTCTCAATGAAGAGGATCTCCACGATATTGATTACATTAGAGCGAATTTCTTGAAACAGATTAGGGAATTAGTCAAACAGAAACATAAAATAATGCAAGATCATAATCTTTCAACTGAAGCTAAATCACATCAAATACAAAATATGTGTTTGAATCATGCTTCTGGGCCTGTGTTATTGGAGGATTTAGCTTTGACATTCACTTATGCGCCTAGTTCTAGTGCTTTTGGTTTTTCGGCAGTAGAATTAGTGTCGAATGGGGCCGATATTGAAGTTAATATAGAGAATATAGAGGAGTATGCGGAATTGACAACGTCGTTCTGCTTAGATAAAGGTATAGCTAGACAACTGGATGCGTTCCATAAAGGGTTCTGTACTGTGTTTCCTATGGAGAAATTGGCTGCTTTTAGTCCAGATGAAATGAGGATTATGCTGTGTGGTGATCAGAATCCTCAATGGACACGTGACGATCTCATTAACTACACTGAACCTAAGCTAGGATATACGAAAGAGAGGTGAATTAATTATACATGCATTCCGGCTAAATCCCACATTAGAAGTATTGGAAGTTCTAAGAGTGATATTTTTTTTTGGATTGCTCAAGTGATTTTGAGAGAGCTTTTTTCAGACTTTCCTATACAGGGTGTTTATAGGAGTTGAAAATTGACCTAGTAATAGAAGAATACAGAAATACTGTAACCTAGAAAACAGTTGCAACAGATAAAAAAATCGTAATGACAATGAAAGAGAAAAGTCATTTTATAGTTTTGACACTGTCATTATTTGAATTGCTTTTGCTTAAGTTTTTATCAAAATTCGAAGATCTTCTGTTTAATATCTTTCGGCGAAATGATTTTCAATAGGTTTGATTCGTTTTTCTTAACTTTTTTCAAATTTATGAACATGAAATATTAAAATAATAAATCGGTTGTCGTGATTATCACTTATGGTGAAACACAAAGTAATGATACTAATAGCCATTGTTGCAGCTAAAGCAATTGTTCTCAAATAGTTTAAAATGAATTATTTCCTTTAACAACGTGAATTAGTTTTATTCTACCGTCAATACAGGGTGTTTTACATAATTTTACGAGGCCTGCCCCTGTAAGATGCAATCAATAACACATATTCCGATACGAACTCGATTACAAATTTTGAAAAATTGAATTATCTTCTCTGGTTTGTTCACCCTTTAAAAAATTACCACGTTTTTAGCTAGTTAGTGATTAAGATAGATAAACTAGACTCATATTCATGCCGTCTCTTGATAGAACAAATGATAATTATTTCTGAAAAACTGCAGTTTATGACTATTAATGAAACAGTGATTAGTTTGACAACTACTGTCATGGGTTTTCAAAAATTAAATAAAAGTGTATTTTTTGTATCTAGTGTTTTGTGACTTTTGTATATTTGGGTGTGTACATTAGGCGCAAGTCTCGTAAAGTTATGTGGAACACTCTGTATTATCTCATTTAAATTTCAACCTCAAGATTGTAAATACCCTGTACCTAAATACAGGGTGATTCTTAAATAGACCGACAAAATTTTATCACAGCTTCTCAAGGATAAATGAAGACAAAGTGTACCTTTTTTACGTTTATATCTTTTAGGGCCAAAACTGAACACATAAGTGGTTTCTGGTGACAAACAAAAGATATCGTCACTAGTGTCAAAATTTAGGTTAAGTCACCTGTCAGTTTGTATACATAATTTAATTGATAGTTGGCAGCAGGTTGACAGAAAACGTCAACCGACAACAAGGGATAACCAACCTTGGAAAAAAAAAACTACTTCTGAAAATCCTAGGTGGTAATTTCTTGTTGACAAATCTGTAAATTTTATTTGGAGAACGTTTAAACAAAGAATTTTTTAAATATTTTTTCTAGCAGGTTCTCATTTGATACTACCAAGGATAAAATTTTGTCGGTCTATTTAAGAATCACCCTGTATTTACTTTTTTGATTTTTTTTTTAATTTGCATCTTCCTTTCCAAAAATTGATAACTCTTTGATAACTCATTTTTAATTATTTTGAAATCGTATTTGGGTATATGAAAGAGAAAGATTAGATATTTTCTTTCGTCTATTTATAATTGGAAAAATAATTAACAAACCTCCAAAATTTAAGGTTACGTTTGGGAAACTTCAAATACCCGTAACTGAATTTTTTCAAATGGAAGGGTCTAATTTTTTCTTCAATTAAATTCCTATACCTAAATTCAATGATTTCCAAGTAATTTTAACTTTTTTTGGAATTTTGGAAGAAATTCATTACTATCCATAATAGTTTTCGCATAGTTTGCTAAGGAAATAATTCTCTATGTTATTTTTTTCGTAAATACAAATTAAATTTATTTAATCTAAAATTGAATAACTTTGGTATTTTATTGAATTTCTCACAATATCAAAAGAAGTTACTATAACTTGAAAACTACCAAACATAGGTATTGGGAATGTTAATACAGACTAAATTCTCCTCCATTTAGTGAAGAAAAAATTGGGGTGTTTCATTTAGAAAAATTGAGTTAAGGGTATTTGAAGTTTCCTAAACGTAACCTTACATTTTGGCGGTTTGTTAATCATTTTTCTAATTATGAATACACCAAAGGAAAGATCTAACCTTTTTCTCTCATATACCCAAATACGGTTTCAACATAATAAAAAATGGTAGAGTTATGAATTTTTGGATCGGAAGATTTAAATCCAAAAAAATTTAAAAAGGTCTAAATATTTTGAAAATGGTGTAGGGAAGGTTAATGAAAACTTTTTCAAAATCACTTGAGAAATCAAAAAACAATTTTTTTTTAATAACGAAATTGATATCCACTTCCGGTGTGACTTAGAGACAAAAATCTCTAAGTGCACGTTTTTATTTTAAATTGAAATAAGAGATCCTGATTAAACATAAAAAAATACAAATTAACTCACAAAAGTAAATTAAATTAAATTTTTAATACTTTTTATTGTTACAAATTTAAACAGGAGATAGAATATTCATTTTTAAAACAAAAATTTTCTATGAACATATATCGTAAAATGCTACGCTAGGGGTGCGTCTTTTAATAGGTTTTTTTCAATATTTCCGAAATCATTTTAGAAAAAAAATTCAAAATTTGGGACAGATGATAACTTTTATACACCTAAACAAGTACAAAAATAAAATGTTGAAATTTTTAATTAGGGGCTTCCTAAACTAGATGGGATTAGGGTAAAAATTTATTCTAAGTATTTTACCTGTGGTTTCTTGCCACTTTCAGCAACAAAATTTCATATTTTTTCATAAAAAATGTCTTTTGTGTTTTTCCGATACAATTTACGGATTTTTAGTAAAAATCGGTTTAAAAATTTATGTTACAGACCATAAACAGCATAACAATTAAAAAATAAATTTGTTTTACCGTTTAGGACGCCCCTGATAAAAAATTTTGTTATTTGGCATTTGTTTAGGTGTACATATAAAGGTACAAAATTTTGTAATTTTATCTATTCTGAAATATTAGGAAAAACCCTTTAAAAAACGTACCTTTTTTAGGGGGTGTAGCTCCCTTTCATAGCATTTTTCGAAACACTTTTGTCTTTAAATTAAATATTCTATCAAGTATTTAAATTTGCATCTAACAATAAAAATGAAACACTGTATAATTAACACATTAACACAAATTTGAAATTAACTCACTAAAATAACAAAAAGCAAAATTTTTAATTGATGTGGGGTTTAGCCGGAACAGTCTGTAGAAAAGGTTTGGTTGGTTGCTAATTGTGGTTTTTAGCCCTGGTTTCTTGCGGTTTGTCAACGTGTTGGTGGAGATGTCGCCCGAGGAGCGAAAGGCGTTCCTGCAGTTTACCACAGGGTGCAGTTCGTTGCCACCTGGAGGTTTAGCAAATTTGTATCCGAGGCTGACGATAGTGCGCAAAGTGGACGCTGGCGAAGGCTCATATCCCTCTGTTAACACCTGTGTCCATTATCTGAAGCTACCTGATTACCCCACTGAGGAAATTTTGCGACAGAGACTTTTAGCAGCTACTAAAGAGAAAGGATTCCATTTGAACTAGAAATGAAAAACGCTAACTAAATTTGTACCTTTTAAATTAATGTTTCTTTTAGGGTAAAAGTATAAAGAGATTTAAAAAAAAAGAGTACTGAGACTTTTTGTATTGTTTATATTAATTCTGATATTTTCGTAGCAAATTATCAAGCTGTACACTTTTAAAATGTACACTATTTTTCAGCAACACTTGTTAACGAAGCTGCTAGTGCATCTTAGTGATATCTTGGAAATAGAGAATTTATGACCAAATTTTATCATGATTATGTGACGATTTTTTATTTATTGTGATTCATTCATTTGCAATACCTTATTGAATATTTAATTATTAGTGCGTAGGGCACTTGGGTATTTATGGTTTAGATTTAATTTTGCTTACTACTCACAGCGTAACTTACAGTAGAAAATGTCTGTATGTATTGATGTTAAATTCAATGTTATTACTCCTAATAAACTACTTTAAATTCTCTTGGCTTCAATTATTTTCCCATTTTTATTGGTTTTGAAAGTCCACGTAGTACATCGTTTGAAGAGAAAAAAGTTGGAAAATGCTCATTGTTGAGTTTGAAAAATAATACACTACTGTTAAATTAGAAAAAAAAAATAATTTTGCATGAATGCTCGGAAATCGAGTGTTGAATGCAGCTTGGGAGTATCAACCTTTAATTAAATTAATTGAGAATTAATTTGAGATGAGAAAAATTAGGGTATGAAAAAGGAATGATCTCAAAATTAGTATTGTTTCTTGATTTTTTTGCAATTTTTTTTATCAGATTTGATATGCAAAGTTGAAAAAAACTGTTTTTTTATTTTGATGAAGATTACACAATGTTCAGAAATTGATTTCTTTAATTCTTTTGTAAAACTTTAATCAGTCGGTCCGAGAAAACTTATTCTTAACTTGAAAATTACATTTTTTTTTAACTGTAGCTCAAAAAAATTTTGCCAAAATATCTCAAGACTAAAAACTTGAAGCTTCAAAATGTTTTTTTTTTAATTCTAGATACGATTATTTGTTACAGTTACAATCTTTCAAAAATTTAAGAAATTTAAATATTTTGGAATAGTACCTCAATAAAAAGTTTGTTTTTGTTTTTTCACTGAGAAGAAAATAACACATCTTTGACATTAAAAATGTATAATATTAGAATAAATACGAAATTCCAAATATTCCTATTACAAATTATTATTTATCTGGTATTTTTTGATAGCATGACGATGAGGAAGAAAACATCTTAAGTTTTTTTTTCTACTTTGCACCTTTAATGTTAATAAATTCGGAAAAAGATCAAGAAATTAAAAAAAAAGAAAAACAATTATATACAAATCTGATTATTTCAAAAATCCACATTTATTATTATTTTATTAAGTCTATTACAATTATTTCAGATAACAATCCCAAAAACGTGTGGGAAAAAATCGCCTCGTCTTATAAGAAAACATAAACTTTGACAACGCTTGTGCAAAGTTTTCCTAAAAAGTGTTGTAAAGCAAACATTCCAACATTTTACTCGTATTTCAATTTGGGCAGTTAATTAATTTTGAAATAATATGGATTTAACTTGAAGTTTATTCCAAATCAATGATATTAAAATTTAAGAAAAAGTATGATTATTTAAAAAATAGTCAAAGTTGAAAAAATTATAATTACATATTTGGCAAAGTATTCCAAGACAATGCCATTTAAAAATTCCTGTGTTAAAATCCGTCATAAACCGGGAAAATTACGAAAAATCTTTAATGAAATTCATAAAGAAATCTTCAATTCTTAATAAATCTTCAAAAATATCGACACAAATCTCATTATTTCAAAGAATTTTTTATTTAGTAAGTAGTAAATTAAAAAGTTACCAAAAATCCTTAAAAAAAATCGGTCTCTTTTTTTCAGAAATTGCACAAAACTTTTTCGCAAATAATCAAGAAATTTGTAAACTGTTTCAAAAGTTTTCTGAAATCTCAAAAAATACTAAAAATTTTTCATAAACCTTAGAAATAACAAAAAGATATAATTAAAACGCCAAATTAAATCCTTAATTCTTTATAATTCATTAAAAATACCAACAGAAATCAGATTATTTCAAAAAATTCGTTTTTGGATTATGCTGTTAGGTAAGAATCCCCCAGAAGTTCCAAAAATCTTTTATAAAAAGTCGGACTTTTTTTTTCAGAAATTACATAACCAAAAAATAATTAAGAAAACATTTAATGACGTAAAACACCAAAAATTGTGTTTCAATGAAGGCTATTAAGATACGATTTAAAATTTAAATTAGTATTGTTTTTTGATTTTTTTGCAAATTTACAAAAGTAGCAAAAAATATTTCTTTTTTGATTTTTTTTTCAGATTTAATATGCAAAATTGTTAAAAAAGTTGAAAAAAACTGGTTTTTAMTTTGATAAAGATTATACAATGTTCAGAAATTGATTTCTTTAATTCTTTTGTAAAACTTTAATCAGTCGGTCCGAGAAAACTTATTCTTAACTTTATTCACCTTCAAAAAAAAAAGAATAAAAAAATTTACAACTTTTTTTTATTTCCCTGTCTAATAGGTAATAACAGTAGCTCAAAAATTTTTTTGACAAAATATCTCAAGACTAACAACATCTTGAAGCTTCAAAATGGAATTTTTTTAATTCTAGATACGATTATTTGTTATTCAGTTACAATCTTTCAAAAATCACCAGCAATTTAAGAAGTTTTAATTTTTTTTGTTTAAAAAGTTTATGTAGAATATTTTGTCATTTTAAAGTCTTTGAGATAATAACAAATCATTTTTCAACCAGTTTTTCACTGAAAATCTTAATTTTGAATTAATTCGAAAAATTAAAAAATAAATACGAAATTCCATATATGAGTATTCCTTTTAAGAATTATTATTATTTATCTGGTATTTTTTGACATCATGACGATGAGGAAGAAAACATGTTAAGTTTTTTTTTTCTACTTTGCACCTTTTTGACTTAAAACACCAAAAATAGTGTTTTAATGAGGGCTATTAAGATACTATTTTTGTATTTTTTTTTGTCAAATTGGCAGTATTATTTATTGGAAATTTAACAAGACAAAAAAAACATTTCGCTATAGCTTTCGCAGCCCAGAAATCACCTTTTCGTTTATTTATTAATTACAGAGTGCTCAACAACTATTACTGTACAATTTTATTAATAAAACATAAATAAATGTACAAAAATGTAAATACAGGTCACTGTTAATCACATAGAAAACAAATCAAGCTTTAATAGGGTTCAATCTTATAATATCTTTAATTTCGTCGAATCGTATCCTCGAAAGCCCATTTTTCTTGCTCCTTTTCTGATGCGCGTGATAATTGTAATGATTATTATTTTCTTGAACTGGAGGTGTTAAATCTTGCTGATAATCATCTTGTTGGTACCCAACATCGGGCGAAGTGGGGTAGTAATACCCCTGCCCCAAACTAGCCCCCTGGTCGTAGTAATAGTCCTGATTGGGGCCCCCACTATAAGCATACTGCATTTCGGGTGTTTCGACTTGAACAGCACTATACGCATGTTCGGGGGCTGCAATTTGGTTTTTATGGAAAATGACCCGAGTGTGGGTGTCTTTGGGGTAATTCTCATGGGTTAGAAGCCCATCATTGTGTTGGTATTGTGGCTGATGGTCCACATACTTCATCAGTAGAGCGTGAACATCAATGGAGTTAACCACGGGGGCTAAAGGGTGCGTTTGGGGCAAATTGGGGTGGAGCACCGCCGAGGGATCGGCCAATTGACTCGGGAAAACTCGCAGGATTATGACGGGGACTTGGGGCTCGTGTCCTTGGGGCAGATACGAGGAGAGGCCCCCGACGTGGCCCTGATTGTCCACACTGGAGTAAAAGGTGGTCCCCGGTTTGAAAGTCTCTTGGGGGCCCCTGTATGGGGGGATGTCGTGCTGGGAGTACTTGTAAACTTGGAATTTGGGGGGCGCTTGGTACCCATACCCCAGAGAGGAGTCGATTGTCCTTTTGGAGTTTTTCGAAGTCTTGTTTTCGTTGGGATCAACAATTTCGATTGCGATGATTGCAGGGGAGTTTTTTGATTTAATTGGGAGTTTTTTGGACTCGTCTTTGAACTTCTTCGGCGATTTTGAAGTCGCCGATGTGATGGAGAGTAACAGGACCTGGAAAAATAACCATTTTTGAAGATAAATTCTATTTTTTGTCATTTTTATGAGCGTTTTAAAAAATGTTACACCACAATTGGTGTTTTTTACCATTTTCCATCATATTTTTTATGTCTCAATTTTTTTTCAAGAAAATAGCAAAAATTTAGTTTATTCGAGCGTTTTAGCACGTTTTTTTTATCTGAAATGCAATTATTAGCCAAAAAAAAACACTAATTTAGTCAAAAATAATAAAATAATCTTTGCCTTCTTTAAGCGTTTAATCAGGTTTTTCGTCCAAAAACTTAGTTATTCTACAAGATTTCATCAAAACAAGTCTTGAAATCACTAAGGTAAATATGGAAGTGACACTATTCGTGAAAATTTGGTGAAAATAAGTCGAGAAGTCACCAAATTATATCAAAATCACAGAAAAATTTATATAAAATAACTGCTCCAGGGCC